TCTGTCTGTCTGTCTGTCTGTCTGTCTGTCTGTCTGTCTGTCTGTCTCTATCTTACTGTGTGTATATATGTAAATGTATATATGTGTATATGTATATATGTGTATATGTATATATGTATATATATGTATGTATATGTATATATATGTATGTATATGTATATATATGTATGTATATGTATGTATATGTAAGTATATGTATGTATGTATGTATGTATGTATATATGTGTATATATGTATATATGTATATATATATATGTATATGTATGTATGTATATGTATGTATGTATATGTATGTATGTATATGTATATATATATATATATATATATATATGTATGTATATGTATGTATGTATATGTATGTATATGTATGTATGTATATGTATGTATATGTATGTATGTATATGTATGTATATGTGTATATATATATGTATATGTGTATATGTATATATATATATAAATATATATATATATATATATACACTGGATTTACTTATCTCCTATCACTGCTGGATTTACGTATCTCTTATCACTGCTGGATTTACGTATCTCTTATCACTGCTGGATTTACTTATCTCTTATCACTGCTGGATTTACTTATCTCCTATCACTGCTGGATTTACTTATATCTGTTTTAATGAACCTGTTGGTGAAACTCTGCTGTTCTCATTGTGGTCAGGTTCATGGAGACTTTTCTTCAATCATTTGGAGAAGTGGCAATACATTGATTATGTTCATTATGTGAATAGATAAAGTTTAAAAGTGTTTTTTGATGCTGTTCGTTTTCTCTGAACTAATTTTTGGAAGTTGAAATCAAAAATGTTGTTAATTGTGTCTTGAATGAAAATGTTTAAAAGTATAACAATTGTATTAGCACTATTAAAGAACATGTCTTAAGTATTTATGTTACACAATTATATTGCAGTAAAGAGCCAAATTGAATAAAATATTTGAATAAACTTGAGTGTTATGAGGGGCTCCCTGAACGTCGGGTATTTGTGGCACCGCCTCTCAAGTATCGGAGGAGCTGCTCTTGGCCAGGTCACCCTTGTGACCTCAGGGTTTTTTAAAATTGGGTTAAATAAAGGTTTAATAAAATAAAAATCATCCTCCTGCCCACATATCTACAGTGTGTCTGCTACTTTCCAGCTGGTAAACAAAACCACTACACGACCCAGGGCTTGTGGGTAATCACCGGTCTGTTTGCCTTCCTTCTGCTGGAGAAAATGTTCCCAGACCAAGACGGCCTCGAGGATGCCACCTCGGAGTCACACCTGAATTGTAACCTTTCTGTGAGTACTCTACTCGTTTTGTCTCGCATGCCGGTACAAGCCTCCACATACTTCTGTTTTCATTGGCATGCTCTGTGCAGAGGTTTTCATGCGTAGTGTGCATATCTGTCAGGGGACATTTGCAGACAGAAGCATCCGATGACCTCTAATACACCAAAGAGTTCACAACAGTCCGTTCACATTGTAGAAGAAGAGCTTGCAGAATTTCTTGTGGGAACGTGCTGCCCAGCTGAGCAGCGCTCCCCGTCAGTCAACGCAGTCAGGAAGTGCTGCTGCTTCCCTGTGCTGCCTCCCGCATGCTCACAATTGTCCAGTCTCCTTCCACGAGTTTCTTTACTATCTTTATAACATTTATTTGACTTTATTTCAGTTTTCCAGGAACTGTTGTAACGCCGGCTGTATTTTCAGCAACCTCGACCAGCAGCTTGTCAGTAGACGCTGCCCTAAGATCAGCTGACTGCAGCCACTTTACACAAACGGTCACGCCCACCATGTTCTGAGCCATCGCACGATGCTCGTCGAAACTAATTCTGATGGGGCGATGCACAAGACGGGGCGTCAGCGGGTGGTGAGAGAGGCGATCTTTGCAGTGTTTGTCACAGACTCACATCAGCGAGTCACGAGCCGCCCTTCTCATTGACTAAACTCACTTTAAGTGTCATTTCTTAACAAAAGATTATCTTGGTCTGAAACTCTGGCATGAAAGATGGTGGGCGATATTCATACTTTGATAGAATGCTAGTTATTTCATATTAATAGTGTTCATGTGGGGCTACAGGAAGTGCATCATCAGTATCAATCCTTTTAGATTAAAATCTAAAGAAACACATGTTTAGATTATACATCCACCCTAGTCTTTACCCACTTTATAATCATTTAAAGTTCTTTAATCTCGCATATCTAAAGTATTTTAGTACACTGATTTGTAGCTGCTCAAATGACATTTAATTACAGTGGTTACTAGTCCTGTAAGGAAATGTTTGGAGCAGTATTCTTCAGAGTGTAGCCTGTTCATTAGAAATACTGTCGATGCGAGCGGTTCTTTAACGTATGCTTGTAGTAAGATTGTAAAGACACTCTCATCCTTCCTCCTGTCTGTTTTTAAGCCACTGAAGGAGATTTTGAATCCACGTCTCGGCACCTTATGTGTCTATTTTTAGCGCTGGAACAAAGCAGCTGCTTCATCCGTTTCAGTGCCCACACTCAGCTTTTAGGCAGCGACAGACAGGACGGAGAATAACCGAGAAGGAGGTTTAAAATGTTTCATGTAGAATATTTAGTGTCACAGAAGATACAACTAAATGAACTGGATTGATTTTTAGATTAAGATGTTTGGGGAAATACAGCAATTGATGAAAATTGCACGGATGTTATCCAATTGGAGTTGTTGTGGTTGACTTGATTTTCATCAAAAAGAGCATGCAATGTGTTTTGCACAGACAGTTGGTCCCCAGTCTGTCAGAGGAGCCTACTCTACATTTATCCTAAAGTTGATCCCTGTGTTACTTCCTCGTGGTTCAATCGTAGAAGTGAAGCAAACGTTTCCCAGTGACGATGAGACGACTGCGACCTGTTTCCACCTCGCCGCCTTTGACTCAGTTTAACTCTCAAGTGGTTTCTGAACGATGGAACAGGGAAGTTGGCTATTCTCAGAAAACAGAAGCTTTAGCTTCACGTGAATGTTGTTGATTTTATTTTTTTTTTTTAGAATGCTGGACATCGTTGAAAATAAAAGGTCATCTGTTATTTCTAGAAAAATAAAAGATCATAAATAACTTGCATCATATATAAAGATGTCAGAAAATTAAAAGCTCTTGTCTGGTTCTTTTGCATAAGTGAGGTTCAGAATGAAATGTAGAGCAAACTGTTGGAAAAACAGACACACACATGCAAGATGTTTGTGTTTTTCCTCTACAGATGCAGTCGGATTCAGCTTTTTGTGTAAAAGCGGAAGCATCCCTCAAAAATGGCCACTGTGCAGATTCATGGAAATCCTCCACGCAGCAGAGTCTGCAGGACCGAGCAGTAAAAATCAAGGTAGTGGTGAGAATCAAATCATGTTGCACTTAATGAGCACAATGTCAGAGTCTGACATTTATTTGTCTTACACAGCACACGTGACACATGAGGTGGGACGAAACTACTGTTTGTACACAGGGTCCCAGTTACATCCAACGAAAACACAAATTGTAAAGAAAAACACGAGTAAGATCCGAGTCATGAACTAAGAATACACTAAGTACTAATAGTATAAAAACAATGTGCCAAAACAACAGCAGCACGAACACGAGTCTGCGTGACCAGGTGAGGACCAGTGAACACAGCAACACGAAATAATCAGCAGCATGAGATCAGCAGCATGGATAGTCAGCAGCACACATCAACAACCAAGTGGCATTGCAGTGATTTTTCAGTTTTTTCACTGATTATCCTGGTCAGAGATTCAGGAGTTAACAGCCGCAGGGTAGAATGTGATGGAAAAAATGAGGAAACCGTTGGACTACACTTGGATTCTGAGCAAACAAATTGGAGCATAACTTTATAAAACATAAGTCCTTTTGGGTTTTGTATGTGACAGACCAGTGGGTACCTTAATCTACTGGCCAACTGCATCGACAACTTCACCCATGGACTGGCAGTAGCTGGGAGTTTCTTGGTCAGCAAAAAGGTAAGAATCTGAGACACTAAAAGCAAAAAAGTTCACCTGCAGGTACGTCTAAACACATCTGGAATACCGTGAATAGATTCATTACACATAGAGTGAACTATTTCAAACCTTTATTTCTTGTAATTTTGATGGTTATGGCTTAGGAATAATGAAAAACCAAAACTCTGTCAGAAAATTAGATTATTGGGACAAAGTTTCATGTTGGACACTCGTGCACACTGCACAGATGGCTCCTAGACATTCGTTCAACCCAAGGGCGTCGGAAGCATCCGTAATGTGGGGGGGACACAATGAGGTGTGTGTGTGTGTGTGTGTGTGTGTGTGTGTGTGTGTGTGTGTGTGTGTAAAAAAAAATAATAAAGGTGTTCACTAGTGAAAAAAAAGCAACATTTCACCTGGATTTCCTTTTAATTCCACACATTTAAAACATGTTTCTCACCAAGTTTGTGTAAATTCATCTGTGGGTTTTAAAAGTAACAAAAAACATCTAGATTCTAAGGTGAATGTAGAAAACTAAAAACAGGAACACGTCTGCATTGGTCCCTGCCAGGAGTCCAACAGATTCTTAAAAATACGGGAACGATCTGAAGATATTAATGCCTGTCCATCTTGGGGGATGGTCCTCGAGAGTATGTACTCATTGGTCAGTCAGCTTAGACTTCTGGTCACATGATGACGGAGTGGGTGGAGTTATGGTAGGGAATTTGAGTCAGAGTTTCTTTGTCATTTACATCCCATGTGGTACATGTAGTGGAATGAAATTGGGTACACAGGGCCCCAGTTACATCAAACAATAGCAAAAATATAAGGTGTAAAAAGAAACCGTAAATAAAGATCTGAGATATAAACTAAGATAAATGCTAAACGAATGCCAAGCGGTAAGCTAAAAGATCTAAGACAGTATCTCGCAAATGTCTTCTGGAGTCGATGGACAAAGGGATATCTCCTGCTCATGCAAGAAAGCAAGCGGAACAGCACAAAAAGGAACTTCAGCACGGGAGATCTAGTTGTTGTTGTTGACAACTCTGCACCTAGGAGTTCATGGACTATGGGCCATGTTGTAAAGACATTTCCAGATGCCAAGGGCTCTGTTAGAAGTGTTTTGGTAAAAACCAAAGCCATTGTGGTTCAGCAGCCAATAGACGAGCTCTGTTCTGATGGAGGCAGCAGGATGAATGAATTTTCCAGCCTTTACTATACTGTTTTCATCATTATAAACTTTGATTAGACATAAAATCATCAAGTAACTCAATGGACTTGTATTTTGAGTAACCATTACTTTATATTGTGTAACTGTTTTGTTTTTGATTTGGCTCCTTTTGAATATTATTTATGTAATTGTTTTGCTAAGGCTGACAATTAGTTGCCAGGATGTTCAAGCCTGTTGATTATTTAATTGTCAGTTTAATTAATTATAAAATGTTATACATTCTTACTGGTATAAAATAAGCAGAATGGTTATAGATGGTAGATGAACTATTATATATTATGAATTTTGTTGATGGATCTCCTATGGCCATCAACAAAACGGCCCACAATGATGGTCCCCAGTCAGCCCAGCCTACTGTGATTAGAGAAGACAATGTCAGCTGGGTTGTTTTTTTGTTTGGTCTTTTGTGGAAGGAGTGAGGAGTCAAACAGTCTTTCTACCACTAAATAACCTTTTTTTATTTGGATATTTGTTGTAAGTCAACGGGAGAATATTTCTGGTTTTTGGGAGTAAAGCCCAATCGCTTTGGTGGAACAGGTAAACCTCTTCGAGTGCTTTTTTAAATTTAGTGCATCGAGAACCTCATCCATAGAACGTCTCTGCCATTTTTTGATTCGACTTTAATGCAAGAGTTGCCACAACAGGTGAAGCCGAGAAAAGAAGAATGTTGTGATAAATTCAGAGAGGAGCTGTTAAAGGCTCTGGGTGGTAAGAAAGAGCTTCCAGATGACTGGACTACTACAGCAACAGTAATTAGAGAGACAGGTAGGAAGGTACTTGGTGCGTCATCTGGACAGAGAATGGATAATAAGGAAACCTGGTGGTGGAATAGTGAAGTGCAGGAAGCTGTTCAAAGGAAGAGGTTAGTCAAGAAGAAACATGACAGAGAGAGGACTGAAGGACTGATCTCCTCCTAAATGGGGGAGTGGTGGCGCAGAGGTTAGAGAAGGTGGGCCTGTGATCAGAAGATCGCCGGTTCACGCCCCGGTACCGACAACATCAAAAATGTGGGTGGGGTAGGTGAAGCACCCACACTTGCCCCCAACCTCATTCGCCCCACTCTGGGCCCATGAGCAAGGCCCTTAACCCCCACCATCTGCTCCCTACACAGGTCTCTCTTGAAAATGAGTTCTCGTGGCTCAATGAGACTAACCTGGATAAATAAAGGCTAAATGAAACAAATAAAAAACATGTCTCTGTGTGAGTGCAGCTACAGCATGCGCTCTCAGGTGTAGTGAACTAGGCCTCCGACCAAAACCTGCCTCTGAAGACCGTCATGGGACAGGAACTCTTATTTCATTGATTTGAATCCAGAAGTACAAATTAGCTCATCCTTTCTAATTGTATCCTGAACTAATCAATTGAAAGAACACTCTCTTTTTTCATATTATCATTACTATTTTACAATATCTTGATAATCAAAGTGTGTTTAGTTCATACCATTTCTAAATGTTGAAGTGAACCACTGATTTTAAATCAACTGTGAAACAGTATTAATGATTTTTTTAATCCTCATTTAAATTAGAAATCAAGTTAAATGTCTATTTTACAAAGTAATTATGCATTTTTGATCTTCTGTCTGAAATGAGAAGGAGTGATGTCGGTCAAAAGTCGGAGACAGTCAAAAACAAGTTGTTAGAACGGGCTGTCGTGTTTTTAAAGCTCTCAGACGGTAAACAAGAGAACTGGCACCTGCAGTGTTTCTCACTTCACCAAAACATTTCTCTGTCTGTTCCTAAAACATTCTTGCTGTTTTCTTGACTTGTAATGACCCTCTGACATCACTAGAACCACCCCCTGTTGGTTGCTTCAACCAATCAGGAAGTACTAAAAGTGACCGGAAGCAGAACTCTTTAAAAGTCGACACTTCCTGGTTCTGGGGCTGTTCTGGAGTGAAGTTCTGTTCTTCTGGAGGGAGTTCTGCAGTTCTGTAGAGTTCATGGAGTTTTACACTTCTGAGTGGAAACTCTGAAAGGACTCACGGATGCTTGCTGTGAGTCCACCTGGGCATAAATGCCCTACAACTTCGAAGGGAGCTGAGCCTGTAGAACGGAGTATCTCACGATTTCTGCCGAGTCGCAGCCGCCCTGAGGAGACGCTGAAAGGTAGCGTGCCAGGGACCTCTTGACCGTAGCGGACCCATCCTCTGCCAAGGTAAAGAGTCGTCACGAGCTTCACGCGAAGTGTACCGCGGGCGAGCTGCGTTAGAAAGGAGCGTGTTGTTCTGGTCCACAGACATACAACATCTTCTTCCATTTTTCCCTTTAAACTCCTCCATTTTTCCATCTTTAAACTTCTATCTTGCCAGTAATTAATCCAGATATCTTCAGAAATGTCTGTTGTTTTTATTAAGTAAAACGTGCCAAGTTTTATTAATCAGAACCAGACCAGTCTAATCAAGTGTACAATGTTTTGATGTTAAATTTTGATTCTGTTCAATAAATGACCACATTTATTTTGATGGGTCAAAGAAAATTAACGTCTCATGTCACTGATTAAACCATCTACGCACAGTTACCTCTGTGACATGGCTGTAATTAGCTCGAAAAAGAGAGAACCCGTTATTTAAATATAATTGTAGTGAAGCTACGAAGCTAACCTAGCCCTTAGAACACTACACAGGACATTATTACCTGCAGTGTCCCCTCAGTGAGGACTGAACTAGACAAAAGGACCTTCTCCTACTCCGCTCCTGTTTTCTGGAATATCTTGTAAAAAAAATCTGAAGCTCTCGACCTTTGACCTCTCTAAGTGGCTTCAAACATCTGATAAGTTCTTGGGAAAAACCAACGCAGACACGTTCCTGTTCTTAGTTTTCTGCACTGCCTTACAATCTAGCTGTTTTTTTTTTGTTACATTTTCTTTTAAATACCTTTTTTATTTTCCCTTGTTAAAAATAACTCAATTTGTACACATCCTTTATGATTGTCTATTGTTGTCTTTGTTGTCCACTGTTGTCATCACTCTTTGTTAAAATCAGGTCTCTCTTGTTAATGAGCCCCCGAGGCTCAGTGGGACTAACCTGTAGAAATTAGGGATGGGGCCAATCCGATCCAGTATCGGTATCGGCCTCTGATACCAGCATAATTTACGTATCGGATTTTCCGATCCAACCTGCCGATATTTCCGATCCATGATGCAGGTTGGCTTCAAACTATGGAATGGATTTCCTGAACGGAGGCATGTCTCATGAACCCAGAGTAATAAGACCCGCCTCACATTCAGGAAATCCAGTTCAAAGTTTGCAGCCAGCTACAACGTGAGGACTGTTAGCAGCACTGTGGCTAACAGCTAACCGACTTTTCATCTAAACGTCCGCTGTGTGGAAGTATTTTATACTAAACACCACAAAACAAGACAGCAACGTGCAATGTCTGCAGATCCACAGCGCCACATTAAACCACGTTAAAGTTAGTTTTACGATGGACGTTCGAGCTCCGGGGCTTCAGCGGGGCGCTGCTCTTTGGTCAAACCGAAAGAGGCGACTCGATCCCGGCCAGCCGCGTCCAATCTGCCCCGCTCAGTCTGCCCGTCTCCGAGGAGGGACAGACTGAGCGGGGCTGCCCCAAATCAGGCTGCCTGCTTCGGATTGAACAAGAAGAAGACGTCGCTGAAACCACGGAGCTCGAATGTTTACAGAGAAGTTACTAAACTTCATCATAATTAATGACCAACCACTATCAGTTGTAGAAAATGAAGGATTTCAGAGTTTGATACTTGCAGCCAAGATCTAGTTTACCCTCCAGGAGATATTTATCAGTACAACAGTAGACAATCATAAAAAAAACCATATGATTTGAAAATTATATTAAAAACATAAACAGCTACATTATAAAGAGATGTAAAATACTAAAAACAGGAACATGTCTGTTGGTTTATGCCATGAACTTAGCAGATGTTTGAAGCCATTTAACGTTTTATTTTATTTTATTCATTTATTCATTCATTTAAATGAAACGATTAAAAAAAATCAAAAATAAAACATTGAATGAAAAGAGTGCAGAAAGAAGAAAAAATTCTTATCTACCCCTTATTTAAAAAAATATAAAATAACTTTAAACAATCACTTAAATTAATCACTTTAATATCCACTTTAAAGCTAGGAATAAAAAAACATGTTTTGTGTTAGAATTTAATTCTACCTTTAAAACTTATCCAACATTAATAAAACTTCCCTCAAGTTGCCTTTTTGGACATGCATGCATATATTTGTACACATTGTACTTGAGAGGAGATTATTACAGCCTCATATAAAATCAATGATCATGATATCGGAACTGGATCGGTATCGGCCAATATTCAGATTTAGTTATCGGGATCGGATCGGAAGTAAAAAAAAAAAAAAAAAAGTGGATCGTGCATCCCTAGTAGAAATAAAGGTTGAATGAAGAGAGGAGACAGGAATATAAGGAGATGCAAGAGCAAAGAGGGAAGTAGCTAAAGCGAAGCAGAAGCCATATTTGAGTTGTATGAGATTCTGGACTCTAAAGAGGGCGAGAAGGAATTGTAACGAATGGCGAGACAGAGAGATCAGGCTGGAAAGTATGTGCAGCAGGTTAGGCTTGTTAAAGATGGGAATGGTACCAAAAACCACTTGTTCATCCCCTCTGTTTCCTTCACCAACATGTCCATTCAGGTCTGCACCCATCACCACTCTCTCCTCTCTGAGAATACTCTCTATCACTTCATCCAGATCCTTTCAAAATGTATCTTTCTCCTCCACATCACATCCAACCTGTGGAGCATAACCACTGACAACATGTAGCATCAGACCTTCTACTTCTGCCTTCAGACACATCACCCTATCTGACACTCTTTTTACCTCTTCTACATTATTTTCCAACTCCTTCAGGACCACCCCTACTCCAGTTCTATTTTTATCTACACCATGGTAAAACAGTTTGAACCAGTGTATCTATTCCATTAAAAGACATCACACCGGGCACTCGGTACAGGACACAAACTCATATACTTTTCTTTTTTTGTTTGTTGTGATAAAGTCATGCTCAAAAAGTGCATTTTACACAGCAATACCATAGATTTGTACTGCTTCAGTAGGTTACTGTAGGTTTGTCTCTTTGGTACAAGAGTCCAGCTGGAGAGACAGAAGGCTAACAGCATGAAGTGTGGAGCAGCGTGCCAGAGAGGAAGTTAACTCAATATTTCAAATGTAAAAGATATCTCACCGGCCAGTTCTTTTTACTGCTGGTGCAAAAGGGTGCATGGTGCATCAAAACTGCAGTTTTGGCCACTTTCAGATGTGCCATTACAACGCAGATATTGATACAATGGTTATGAGTGGCTGATGTACTCTTAATAAACTTTTATTTCTGAAAAATTTTTTTCAGTTACAGCTTTCTTTTTGATTTACTCATTTATTACCTGAAGACTCCACGGGGTTTCAAATCTTTTGTCTAATCAAGTTTCCTTTATCATGAACTGATTATAAGCTTGCACAAATCTGTAATAGTTGTTTTGTTTTAACGTCAAATATTTGTAACCTTTGCCATTTTTTAAATCAAAAGTTAAGTAATACGTCCTGATGCATGCTCAATAATTCAGAAAGATAAATCTAACAAGGCTAAGTCGGGTCCTCTGGATGGATTCTACTTGTTGAAACATTTCGTCTTTTATCCAGAAGATTTCTTCAGTCTAAGGAGCTGCAACAAACTCAGTCTTACAAGCAGCACCTTCTCATCGTGGACCAACCAGTTTGCTGGTGACAGCCAGAACTAGCTGTTCACATGATAAAGGACGTTGGTTTGAGAGAGGAGTGAAGGAAGCCATCTTTGTGAACAGAACCCTTCCATCATTAAATGGGGTGGAGCCTCCGTGTCCAACTGTCCCCCTCTTACAATGCTGTTACCGCTAGTATCACTCAACCCTCTGTGACAAGCAAACAGCCATCTGGACACTAACGATTGCTTGTTGGGCTGATGGTCCCCATTTATTATGTGAACAGCTAGTTCTGGATGTCACCAGCAAACTAGTTGGTCCACTATGAAAAGGTGCTGCTTATAAGACCAAAGGCTCTAGCATACTCAGTCCAAAGGTCAACAGTCGACTCGCGGTCATGTGGTTGAGGGACATTGGTTTTCGCACACACCACGAGACGCAGAGCTCCTTGAAACCCCTCCCGCTGCAGAATACGTCACCACACAGGTTTCTTCCCACCAGAGTCTCCACTCTGTCCCTGCATTCGCTGTTTGGCCACAAATCTATCATGAAGAAATCGCCACACTTTTCAGCAGACGGCTTCCTCCATACACGATGTCTGCACGATCTCCATCCAGGAGTTTTTAGCCATTTGACTAATTTATAGAGTTTGAAGAGTCATACAGCTGAATGTCAAAGCACATTTCTGCTTTGACGAACACGCCCACAAACTACGGACCATTCATCCAACACTTGGCACATATGCCTGTGAGATAAAGTTGGGCCTGGGACTTGAGTCAAGAAGAAGCAGGTGAAGCTGCTCTGAGAACAAAATGACGTGATTATCATCACGTAACAACGTCACTGAGCGCAGATTTCGATTTAGCCACTTTGGATGGAATATGCAGGGTCTGAGTTTAGTGCGGCTCCTCAGACTGAAGAGGTCTTTTGGATAAAAGAAGAAATATTTCAGCAAGAAGAATCTGTCCAGAGGACCTGACTTAACAGAGTCAGTTTCTTTGTCATTCGACCTTGTTAGATTAAAAAATATGTATTTCTGCATTGTCTAATTACATCTTGGAACAATTAAGTTTGCTGTGCTTCTAATTTAACTGTTTTTATGAAAGAAGTTTCTTCAGACAAAAATGCTTTAATCAGATATTTCTTGCAGGTTGGGTTCCTCACCACCTTTGCCATTCTGCTCCATGAAATCCCCCATGAGGTGAGAAAACGGTTCTTAAAACTCATCCAGTTTTGTTTCGAACGTCAGAAGTTTGCATTTCTTCAAGCTTCTAGGAAAAGTCTGGGCGGAGTCTTAAAACACTTGATCTTTAGCTGTTTCTGTGCTGAGAGAAATGACGTCTTCCACAGGTGGGAGACTTTGCCATTCTGTTGAGGGCGGGGTTCGATCACTGGAGCGCCGCTCGCATGCAGCTGTCCACGGCTCTGGTCGGGGTCTTGGGAGCTTGCTTCGCCCTGTGCACTCAGTCACCAAAAGGCACAGGTAAAGCATTTTACATGTGAACTGGACACTGGTTTAAGGTCGACTTGATTAGTCGTGACTTTCTTTAATGTTTGTAGAAAATGCCACAAGCTGGATATTGCCTTTCACTGCCGGAGGTTTCCTCTACATTGCCTTGGTGAATGTTGTGCCTGAGCTACTACAGGAGTCCAATTTAAGGTAAAGCACTGACAGGTGCAGCAAAGAAAAACAACCAGACAGGTTTTTTTGTTGTTATATACCTGGATGACTGAGAAAACAAACTTTGTGTTAACCAGACAGGTTGGCGTTTTTGCCAACCAAACGATGAAACGACGTCTTAAGAAGGAGGATTCACAGGTGTATGCCCTCCTGAGCGATCCAGTCTGGCTCTGGCCATGTTCACAGCACATTTTCAGAGAAAATAGCAACAAAAATATTCATAGCCATGCTTGGAAATGCATTTCACAATGTTTACTTTATAAGAAGGCAGCAAAATAAAACTATAAATTGGCCAGAAGTGATGGATTTATCCGATTAACTCATTACTACTAAAAAAAAGGCCCAACAGAGCAAAACTTGATGACAAATCTTGCAGTTGTGGAATGTTTAAAAGAAAAGAAAAGATGGTGCACTTCCATAATCCCATTTTAAAAATGTAATTTATGTTTTCCCCTCTTTTCAGGCACTCCTTACAGCAAATCCTTCTTATTTTCTGCGGGGTGGCTATCATGGCTGTGCTCTCGGCCATCATCGATTGAACGTGGAGGGATCACCCCTTTTCGCCTTAACAGACACTCCTCATGTAGAGAAATCCTCGTGTTTGATTCCTCGTTCATGGACACGTCTTGGTTCCAAGGCGTTGAGGCACCAGTGACGTACAGCAAAGACCTGGCGAAGAACAACACTCTCTGAGGAAAAAGACGACTTTCTTCATCGGCGAGACACTTTCAAATGTTCCGTACGTAAATATCACGGGAGATGGTTTGTGTCGAAATCTGTTACAGATTTTCCTTTCACACAATAATGCTATGCACATACTTGCACAGGTACGCTCCATGTAACTGCTCAGATCAACAAAATATTCCAAGCACCAAGACTTCCCTCTTCATAATGCATCATTCAACCTAAGTTTTGTAAAAGTTTAGTTTTGTTACTGTTGGATGTGTCTATTTCTACATATTTATTGAACGTGAGAACCAAGTTTTATCACTGATGGTTGTTTTTTTGCCTCGTGTAGGAAAAAGAAGAAAGTGTCAAGTGTTTAGAAGATTCTGTTTCTACTCGGAACCAAAGCAGCTTTTTTATTTGTTCGGCTTTCTTCCACTCCTTTTAGCACCTCTTGATTACAAATGGCTGCTCATACAAGTTCATGAAGAAATTACATGAAAAAATATTGTTACTAATTCTAAGGTTTGGTTTTAGTCCTTTTTGTTGCTAACTGTTGGAGACTAGTGACATCTCTGAAAATGTCAACCACAAGGGAGAGTATGTTACATTTTTAATAAACTTAAATAAACTATATTTTACCACATGTATGGAAAGTATGCTTATTTATTTTTAATTTGAGGCCATAATGATGAAGCACACTCTGCTCACGCATGATTGTGCAGCTGCCCATCCAGTCTGTCACATTGTAAAGTTTGCAGATGATACAGCGGTGGTGGGATGCATCACAGACAACGATGAGTCCAGCTGCAGGCAGGAGGTGGAACACCTGGAGAGCTGGTGCAAAGAGAATAACCTTCACATCAATGTGAAGAAGATAAAGGAGATGGTCGTGGACTTCAGACGGAACAAACACACCTACCCCTAAACAATAATAAAGACTTCATACAGGACTTTTCTTATTTCTTGGGTGATTTTACGTCCAAATATGAGCAAGTTTTAATTGCTGGAGATTTTAATATTCATGTGTGTTGCACTGGAAAGCCGCTGGTGAAGGATTTCTTAGATCAGGGATACTTGTTGATCAGCTGATCATCACCAGCCGCTCACGTCCACTGACCCCGCTGGTCAAAAGACGTAAAAAAAAAAAAAAGTACTGTTAATCTCGGATCAGCTACCGGCTGCGTGTGTCTCCGCACCTTCTGTCATCTGCGGTGAAGGAAGGAGGAGCATCTTGCAGGGCCGGTTCTAGGCATGGTTACACAAGTGGGCAGGCGGAAATGTGAAGGGGGCATCTTCATCCATACGTATGTTGCAGCATATTCATTGTTGAGCATGGACTTTGGTTTTCATTGGTATTGTTGAATTGTGTTTTCTTCATGGGACTGGGGTAACAGCTAAAAGGTGAAATTTTTACACAGTCAACATTTTCAACCATGAACACTATCAAGTAAAACCAGAAACCAACTGACCCATGTCCATCTTGAATGCTTCAATCTGGCTGCAACCACAAATTACAAATACAACTTGAAGAAAGTCAAGGACATGCACCACAGCTTCCACTCATCTCAGTACTGAGGTACATTTTGTTTAAACAGATAATGTTCTGGCTGCGTTTTTATTTTGTTCATAGGTGGGTTGTTTAATTTCTTTCTTTTATTGGAGTGACTTGGAGTGATATCACAGCTCTCCCCTTGACTTTGATCTATCAATATGGTTCTTTTGAAAAAAATAGTGAAGATCACTGTCTTAGATGTAGTGGATGCTTTTGGCCTCACTCAGTCAGTGAAGGGCCCAACCCATGAACGTACGCGCACCCGGGACCTTGTTTTATCTTATGATTTATCTATTTGTAACTTGTAAATTGGTGATGCATTGTTATCAGACAATGTGTCTGTTTTATTTGGTTTTATTCCTGTTTCTAAACCTGTCGAGTCCTGTGCTCCTGCTCAATGATGCCGTGCATTTAACTCGTCCTCTGCTGCTCATTCCTCCACTGTCTTTAATTGTTTAGAGTCACAGCTCTCTGTCTCTCAGCGCTGAGGAGCTTTCCTTATATTTTGATTCTTTATGTCATGCTGTTTTAAATGATGTGGTCCCGATTAAAACCAGGCGATCAAAGCCAAGATCAGACCCATGGTTGAGTGACCATTGCCGTGCCATTAGACAGGAATGCAGGAGAAATGAACACAAGTGCAGAAAGGACAAACTCCAAGTCTCTGATATACTGAGAGAGAGTTGGCGTCGATATCAACGAGCTGTGAAAACAGCCAGAGTAAAATATTTCTCTGACATTAATGTTGCACATGAACCGGTCCCTCTTGAAGCATCCAGAGAACTTTGTAATAAGTTTCTTCATTTCTTCTTGGACAAGGTTATTAACACCAGGGCTTGTATCTCTTTTCCATCCCTTGACCCTTCCATCCTGGTCCCCTCTCCTGCTGTTTTTGATCATTTGGAGCCTATTTCCTTCTCCCATCTAGAGAAACTTGTCACCAGTATGAAATCATTGGGTTCTCCCCTTGATGTTGTTCCTCCATATTTTCTTAACGAGGTATTTTCTACTGTTGGCTCCTTTATCCTAAATGTGATCAACAGCAGTTTGATGTTTAGTGTGGTACTAAGCAATTTTAGACATGATGTGGTGCAGCCATTGTTGAAAAAACCTGGCCTTGATCCATCATCTTTGTCAAACTTTAGGCTAATCTCCAAGTTACCCTTTATATCCAAAATTTTGGAAAAAGTGTTTTATACCCAGCTGAAGGCATTTTTGGATGAATTTAAAATGTTGGAGGTCTTCCAGTCTGGTTTTAAAATGTACCACAGCACTGAATCTGCTCTTTTAAGGTTTTTAATGACATATTTTTAGCACTGGATTCTGGAAACTGTTTTACTTGTGCTTTTAGATTTAACAGCTGCTTTCGACACAGTTGACCATGACATTCTCATCTCCAGACTGGAGCAGTGGGTGGGCATCACTGGTTCAGCTCTGCAATGGGTTAAGTCCAACCTTTCTGATAGAATATCCTGATGCATGCTCAATAATCCAGGTAGAAAAATCTAAAAAAGTTAAATCTGGTCCTCTGGACATTCAAAAAAACAAAACAAAGCAAATCAACAAAAAATGTAGAAACGTTTCGTCTCTCATCCGAGAGACTTCCTCAGTCTGAGGTGCTGTATTCAGCTCAGTCTCTTAAATAGCACCTTCTCAGGGTGGATCAACCAGTTTTAATGCTGACAACCAAAACCAGCTGATCACATGCTCAAGAAGGACCATCAGCCTAACAATGGATCATTAGCACCTGATGGCTGTTTACTGTTCACAGAGGGCTGAGTGATACTAGCAATCACAGCATTGTAAGAGGGGGACAGTTGAACCCGGAGGC